TGGCTGGCGCCTTAGCCGGTTGAGCTATAGGCGCCAAGCCTTGATAAAGGTTCTTAACCGCTGTTGTACATCAGATTTATCCAGTAACGAGTTTGAAGATAAAAATGCTCGGATTCTAATTCCTGAAGTTCAGATATAACAGGTTTATACTGTGTCATGGTATCTGTATTTTTACTGTGAGCTTCCCAGGTGATGCTAATGCACACTGCCTACACTAGCAGGTCATGATACAACACTACTAGAACCTGCAGCCCCCCGGCTCACCTGTGCCATGTGGACACTATGAAGTTTCTGATATTTCCCAAGCTGATGGGTCCCCCAAGAATATCTTTGAGTTGTTCATGGCTGTCAGAATAAGAAGTTGTCAGGGGTGAGACAAAGATGGGGTAGCCAATAGGTTGATCACAAGATGAGTTTATCATGTTTCTCAAGGCTTGCTTTGCATTTTGGATGCTACCTCTCTCTGGGTTACGGTTACGCAGAAAAACCAGCTCCTGCTGTTGCCCTGCCCAGAGACCTCGGACACATTCTTTGTTCACCTGAAAACCAGAACACATGGGAATTAGGTGAAAGACATTACGCTATCCACTATGAGAAGCAGGAGGCCACATGTGGATGAGGCCAGCTCTTGTCTGTCATTAGCAGGTGGTAAATGGTGAGCCCCTGCAGAGCCCCTGTCCCTGCTCTGTGTTGCCAGAGTATCCAGTAAGACGGCACCCACTTGGTTTCTCAAACTGGCAAAACACTGAATTTTGTAAATAAGATAATAGATTTTTTTTCTTACAGAAATGAGTGTAACAAGTATGATAGAACTTCTGTAAGTTGACCATCCAAGGGACTGCAAAAAATTGGTCACCATACGGAACTAGGCCTACTGTACCAGGATGAACATGTGGTGCAGGTCAACTTGAGCTGGTCAATGGTGGAGGTTCCACTGTACTTGGAGTGGAAAGAATGGGACATTTGGGGGGTTGATTAAATAATGTAGGTAAAAATAATTACTTAATATAGACTATCAAGATAAAAATTCAGGGATTAAGCTTCCTGAAGATGTTTAAAAACAGATGCTGTCTGAACTGCGTAACTAATTGACATGAAGACCTGATTCATGATGGAGGAAACACTGCTGAAATTGAAATAAGGGAGAATGCTAAGGTTTTATGGCACATGAGAAAATTTCAGAGGATAAAATTTTTGACGGAATAAGTCAAGTGCTCATAAACAAGAAGCACTAACATATTATGTTCATTCTGCTTCTATGAAAAGAGTTTTAATCACTTTTTAAAAATGTGGATCAGGTTATCTAACTTCCATTTTTTTAGACATAAACAAATGCCTAAAAAACATACTTTAATGACCCTGAAGCTCAGGTAGCGTCTGTTGAGCATGATGATTTTATATTCATTGGTGCCATCATCCATGACGTGCCGCAGAGCAAGCAGGGAGGGAGAATTGGCAAGGACTGCGCTCCGCCACGCAGGGTCCCCCTCGTGGGCTATTACGAGGTTTTTTTCATGAGATACAATGGCTTCATAGAGCACAGTGGGGTCATCGTACTCATCTGGAGACGTGAAATGATCCTAAATGCAAAAGCAAAAAACAACGTAAGGTTTTTAGGGAAAAAAAGGACTTCCAGGATAATAATAACCTCCATAGTTGCTAAGCCACTAAGTGAAAGTTATTAAAAACTGGTCTAATATGAACATTTCATAGCAAAAGATGTTAATATTATTAGAGATAAATTACAGATTCTCAGTCATAACCACCAGGTTAGGAGTTCAGTTATTACTACTATACTTATTTTGTAACTTTTCTCAGTGTAATCCTCTCTCTATGTTCTAGATGAATAAATATCATTTCCAGGTTTTTAATATTTTATTTTTGTCTTTCAGGTTGATTTTTCATACCTTTATTCATATATGCACACACACAAGTACATATATACAGGGTGTCCCCAATGTCGCCCCTAAGGTTGTCATACCTAGGGAAAATGGGAAATTGTAGCTAAATGTAACTTTATTTATAAAATAGTCATTACAAAATTTTACAAAATATTCTCTGTGTGTAGCCACCTCTTTGTAGGCCATGAATATTTTGTAAATAAAGGAACATTTAGCTACAGTTTCCCATTTTCCCTAGGTATGGTGATTTTAGAGATAGCTTTTGGGACAGACACCCTGCATATTTTCTGCTGAAAAATTATTTCACTGTCAGTTAAAAAAGGCTAAAACTAAATTCAAAAGTCTTTATATTGTGCTTCTTCTTAACTATGCATTTTTCATATAAAGCCACATCTGTACAATGGTTCTAATAAACCATTTTATCCTGTCTCTATTCTAGTTAGGTTATAGCTGAAAGCTCTTAGCTTTGAACACAAATTAATGGTCCTAGTCCTGGAGAAGTTAGTAAGGTCTTCCCTGAAAAGCCTCTTGGCCTCACTAACTACCCACTCATTTTATAAATAGTTATTCAGGGTCTACTATGCACAAGAGTCTGCGGCAGGTAGCATAGAGGAAACCAAGATGTATATGAAATGCATCTCCCTTTTATAAAAGTATTAATTAAAAGGCATCACAGGACATATACCAAAATAGCCATAACATAAATCTTAATTTCAGAAATGGTGGGTTACTGAAGAAATGTAAATATTATATTGGTTGTTTTCATATTTATAGTTGGGAGGTTGACAATCTTTGTATTCAGGTCTCTCATCTGTACTCAAGCCAACCTCTGACACAGGCAATAACACCACAGTCAAAGGATTATGTAAGGAGAGAGACCCATCAGAAACAGGTAAGGGTACCTTCAAGGAGAGAACAGGGCAGAGAACTAAAGCATCAGAGACTGTATGTGCTCAGTTTCTTTTCAGAGTTTCTTTTCAGACAAACAGAGAGAGTAGCTGTCATAACATTTAGGATTAAAGAGGTTTGTCAGGAGATGTTAGACAATGATGCTATACAAAAACCAGTATTTCTTACATAGCAGACACACAATTTGGCACCTTTTGAGAAATTCTGAAGTTTTTAAAAGCATCTTAATCTAAAGTCATTATTTCTTTTTCTTTTAAATGCAATGAATTTAGTCTCAAAACTCTGAAGCTAGTATAAGAACAGACAATTCAATTTGATCTCGAATAAATATTTTCTCCACCATCCTAAAAACAATATTCTATTTTTAATAGAGATTTTTAAATAACACATCCTTTACAAGCAATGCTCTTATAGATATAAGACAGTAACTTAATTCTAACACTGTAAATCACAGTAAAATCTCCTGAGGAATTAATTCACCTTTCATTTGGGAGGTGAAATAGTCTTATTATGGGGGTCTCAATCATCAGATCTGATAACCATTGTCCAGTGGAATGATTGGAGCACCAAGCACCAGGACTAAAATTTCACAATATAGTCTTTTTTTTTTTTTAACAGAGTCTCACTTTGTCACCCTCAGTAGAGTGCAGTGGCCTCATAGCCCACAGCAACCTCAAACTCTTGAGCACAAGTGATCCTCCTGCCTCACCCTTCCAAGTAGTTGGGATTATAGGAGCTCACCACAATGCCCAGCTATTTTTAGAGACAAGGTCTTGCTCTGGCTCAGGACTGGTCTCAAAACCTGAGCTCAGGTAAATCCACCTGCCTAGGCCTCCCCAAGTGTTGGGATTACAGGTGTGAGCCTCCATACCCTGCCCACAATATAGTCTTGAAATGACCTTGGGTTTTGCAATGGCCTCATTTCAATGTTATTACCCCACTAAGATTACTTAACTAAGCCTAAATCTATCTTAACCAGGTATTATTCTATATAACACACAAAATGAAACTCAGTTCAGTAACAGCAGAACTTACACCACTACTGAGTTGTTACTACCCCGCACTTTCGGAGCTGGCTAACATTCATCTAGGCAAGAGGCTGGAGTTACATGGTCCGCATGAAGTTCAAATGAGTATTATAGGGCCAAAGGCCTTTATTTCCAGCTTGTCTCTGCACACTTTTCTTCAATTTCATGCCTAGATCAGTACTCTCTAATATCAACATTCAAATTTGCTATTTGAAACATAGATTCAGGCTTCTAAGGTTTAATATTCTGTCATGAAACCATGTTTTTCTTTAGCTCAGAGCAGAATATTTCTCAAAAGTTTCCTAAGAAACATAGCTTGGAAGTCGTGTGATAAAAGTACCATAAACAAAACTTAGAAAAATTTCTTCTTCTTACCTGATGAAGTTTAATGGACATACGAATTCCAGGGACTACTACTTTTCTTAGCAATTCCATGTCAGCAAAGATCCATTCATCTCGAATTGAAGAAATACGGAAATCTCCTTTAAATAGGGCATGCAATCCATAGAGGAATGACTCTAAATTACTGTCAAGATTGGAGATAAAAGTTCACATATTTTGACAAAAGTCTTCATGTCACTGATTCTTACATCTGGGTGTGCATCAGAATCACTAGGGAGTGTTTCCAAAATGCAGATTCCAAGGACTCGTGTCAGAACCCCTGAATCAGAATCATAAGAGATGGGGCCTGTCTGACCTGAGGCCCTTGTGTATGAAACATTGTGAGTCCACAAAAACAGACAACAGGCAGAGAACTTATAATGAAGGGTCTAACTATGGAAAACATGTAGTTATTAGAGAAGAAGTTCAAAATGTGCAGTATTTCTTAATTCTGATTCATTTGAACATGTATCACAGGAAATTCAATTTAGATTTAGAGTCCCCATACCTAATATACGGCAACTATGTTAAAGGTATAAAGGCTCTGAACAAAGACTGCAAGAAAACATGGAAAGATAAAAATAAATGAACTTGTTATAAAAACAGATGTAAATGGGAGAAGCCTAATCAGACTTCATGGGGTGATTATATTTTAAAATGTCTCAAGTTCACTAAGTTATCATTGTCAGTGGCTATCTGCACATGTGTGAATTTCTAAAGCTAGTGCTATTAGCCAGTTGGGACAACGCAACTATGTTCAGCAAAAAGATCTACAGATAAAAATTACAGACTTTTGCAATAAATTAACACAGAATGGATGCTTCCAGAAAACTTATTTCAGATTTATATAGCTTCTCATACTCTCTTCCTGAAAACAGAAATGTCTTCTTTACCTGGACATATGATGGGATGCAGTCCCCAAAGCTCTCCGTCCCAGAACACAGAGCCCATAACAAAGGGTCACCAGGGATGAATCTTTATCCACATCCAGTGGCTTTAAAAAACAAAGAACATTACTCATCAAAAAGAGACATGAGTATTTAACAAATGAGAATATATCTAATTAATATATCAGCAAAATGATAACTCAACTAGTTCATAATTTCTATCTTTTCAAATAAAATTTTATGAAAATAGATTTAATAATAAAACAGTATTAGATGAAGCTTGAATGTGTATAGGGAGACTCTTTGGAATCCTTAAATAAAATCTTAAACTTTGTAATACTGGTAAATAATAACAACCAAAAAACCTGGCTCAATTGTAAAATATTAGGATCTTAGCTAAACGTTTCAAAGTACTTACTGGTATTACTGATAGTATCTTCTCCTGAAAATATGGTATTCTGTCTATAGTTATTTCTGACCATAACTTGACAAGCAGTCTATTAGTAGGGCTGTGTGAGCCTATAAATGACCATAAATTGATATCCACAGAAAACTGCTTCCCCTTAACTTTTTATTTTTAATAGCTGCATACTTTGACTATTGAAAGAAGCTGGTAATTCTCTTTTCCTTCTTAATTGACTCCACAACAGTCACAAAATGGTTTAAAGGTGTGATAATATGAAAAATCGTGGTAGTCCCTTAGTTACTGAGAAAAAAATCTAGGGCAGTGGTCCTCAAATTGTGTATAATACTAGGATCAGCAGCATCAGCACCATCTGAAAGCTTTTGAGAAATACAAATTTTGAGCTACTCCAGATCTATGAACTCAAATTCTAGAGGTCAAGTCTAGAAATCACTCTCCAGGTAATTCTAATGCATAATAAAGTTGAAGAACCAATGATACAGGCTAATAATGAGCTTAATTACTGTAACTTTGCCAACGGTATATATTTCTGGCTTTATAAACCATTAACTCATAAAAAAGGGGAACTAAGATATTAACTTAATATTGGTTGGTTAATTTAAATTTAATTAATTACTATTAATTGGACAATTTAGTTAATTAATACCAACTGTGTTAAGATGCCCTAATTGCTGCCAATTACACTGTTTCCAAAGACACAGTACCTCTTACAGCATATATTCTAGTTTCATCAAGTAGGCTCTTTGAAAAGAATTTTGTGTCCAGGTTACAAAACAGTGAATAAAGAGTATGAGAGCACTAGTTTTTTTTTTCCCCTGCTTATTTGTTTTGCTTTTTTTGAGACAGAGTCTCATTTTGTCACCCCCGG